TTTTTTCTCTTTTTTTCTCATTGATTCTTTCTAAGATTAATTTCTTTTTATAATTAACTATGATTAAGGAATTGACTAGCCATTTCATAATTCAACGGATTTTGATTGATTTATAATTCAAGGAATTTGTTTACTCAAATACTTGATTCATTTCTTTGCCCCTTATTTTTGTTTCCTCACTTTAATCTTTAAAATATGTAATTATTTTCAATTTGCATTTACAACAAATGTCCATTTGAAATTGTACCAAAACTTTCATGTCTATGTCATGTCTCTCGAATATATGGTGTAATAGAAAAAAAAATATAATATTTTAAGTATCAATGTGACAAAAAATATAGTAATACTTAAAAGGTTAATGAGAGAAATTACTTATTTTAATTCTGTAACGCCCTCAAAATAAACCCATAATAACCATAACATTAACATGCATTTATAAAAGAAAACGAATCATTTGAGTTATTCATCAGAGTATTCTTATTGAAAGACATCACATGTAACATCCTGCAACATCAAAATAAATGCCCTAAGGGCTTACATCTTTCCAAGCTAAATTTGAGATAAACATTAGTTATTGGTCTAAATTGGAGAGAATTACATAACGTGAGAACCAAAAGTTTAGAAAAATAGTAATAATAAAAATAAAAAATCAAAGTTAAAATAATTTAGGGGAGAGAAAATGAAATTGACCCTCAGATAAACGATGCGTGCACACATATGTAAATGGCCTATCTTTCGGCTTAAAGTAAACTTTGTTTTGATTGTTTTTGATGCCCATAATTTAGTCCTATCCAAATATTTACACACTAACCAGATTAGGTATGTACTGGTAATGATCCAAAACTGTCCATTTTGATTTTATGATACCCTAGTGAAGATACATGATTTACGGGTTTATGTTTGATAGCTACACTTGAAAATAATCCATTCCCTTGTCCTAGATGATTGATTGGTTAAATATCAATATTTTATATATTAGGCAATGAGAAGACACTAAGCAAAATGATTATTTTATCCCTTGCCCTAGATGATTATTTTATATTGAAAATAATCCACACTAACCAATATATTTTATATATTGGTTAAATATCAATATCACTATTTCACCAATCAAAATGTTGGATTTTTTTTCGTAGTTTGTCTGCAATAATCTTGTGTCTTTTTTGTCATAACAAGACATTAATAAAATATAAATTTTAATGGTTTGAGTTAAAATTGAGAGAAAATGATATCAAAAAAACACTCTAATTTATTTATTTTTTTCATTTTGCACCTTGTCCCACATTGATTTCTTATTAATTTCTTACACCTTTTATATGTAGACCTTTGTTATTGAGTAAGGGCCAAGAATGTGGGGGAGACTATGTAAACTTTGGGCCATATGTGTGAAGTCCATATATGTATATGTTTTTTTTCTCATTGATTTTTAGTAAGATTCATTTCTTTGTATAATTAACTATGATTAAGAAATTAACTAACCATTTCATAATTCAAGGGATTTTGAGTGATTTATAATTCAAGGAATTTGTTTCACCAAATCCTTGATTCATTCTTTGCCCTTTATTTTTTTTTCCTCACTTTAATCTTTAAAGTATGTAATTATTTTCAATTTGCATCAACAACTAATGTCCATCTAAAATTTTACCAAAACTTTCATGTCTTTGTCACGTCTCTCGAATTTATGGTGTAATAGAAAAAAAAAAATATAATATTTTAAGTATCAATGTGATAAAAAATATAGTAATACTTAAAAGGTTAATGTGAGAAATTACTAATTTTAATTCTATGGTTGTCCTTAAGTTTGAGTCGAATAAGATATCACATGTCATAAACTGATATCACATAATATTGGCATGACATTTTTCTATTTAATTTGCGCGAAACATTAGTTATTGGTCTAAATTAAAAAGAATTATATAGCTTGAGAACCAAAAGTTTAAAAAAATAGTAATAATAAAAATTAAAAATCAACGTTAGAATAATTTAGTGGAGAGAAAATGAAATTGACCATTGTTTAAATGATGCGTGCACACATATGTAAATGGCCTATGTTTCGGCTTAAAGTGAACCTTCCTTTGATTGTTTTTGATGACCGTAATTAGTCCTATCCAAATATTAACCAATTTAGGTGTGTACTAAGGCCTCGTTTGGGAACAGACTAATTTAGTAACTTTTTGGCTATTTGGCTAAAAAGGTAGGTAAAAAAAACTTGTATGTTTGGGATGACTTTTTGGCTAATTACGAAAAGATGTGCAAAAAGTAGAGAGAAAAGAGAATCTTTGACTTTTTGGTATGAGTTGTTGACTTTTTAGCTAATTTAGTAACTTTTTAGCTAATTGGCTAAAAAGGTAAGTCCCCAAACGAGGCCTAATAATGATCCAAAACTGTCTATTTTGGTTTTATGATACCCTAGTGAAGATACATGATTTATGGGTTTTTGTTTTATAGCTACACTTGAAAATAGTCCATTCCCTTGTCCTAGAAGATTGATTGGTTAAATATCAATATTTTATATGTTAGACAATGAGAATAAGTAATGTCACTAATTCACCAATCAAAAAGTTGGATTTTTTTTCGTAGTTGTCTGCAATAATCTTGTGTCTTTTCTGTCATAACAAGACATATTAATGAAATATAAATTTTAATGGTTCGAGTTAAAATTGAAAGAAAATGATATGAAAAAAACGCACTATTTTTTCTTTTTTTTTTTCATTTTGCTCTTTGTCCCACATTGATTTCTTATTAATTTCTTACACCTTTTATATGGAGACCTTTTTTATTGAGTATGTGAGGGAGACTATGTAAACTTTGGGCCATATGTGTGAAGTCCATATATATATATGTATATATATGTTTTTTTTTCTATTCTTTTTCTCATTGATTTTTTGTAAAATTCATTTCTTTTTATAATTAACTATGATTAAGGAATTAACTAGCCATTTCATAATTCAAGGGATTTTGATTGATTTATAATTCAAGGAATTTTTTTTTTGATCAAATCGTTGATTCATTTCTTTGCCCCTTATTTTTTTTTCCTCACTTTAATCTTTAAAGTATGTAATTATTTTCAATTTGCATCAACAACTAATGTCGATCTAAAATTATACAAAAACTTTCATGTCTTTGTCACGTCTCTCGAATTTACGATGTAATAGAAAAAAAAAATATAATATTTTCAGTATCAATGTGACAAAAAATATAGTAATACTTAAAAAGTTAATGTGAGAAATTACTAATTTTAATTCTATGGTTGCCCTTAAGTTTGAGTCGAATAAGATATCACATGTCACAAACTGATATCACATGATATTGGCATGACATTTTTCTATCTAATTTGAGATAAACATTAGTTATTGGTCTAAATTAAAAAAAATTATATAGCTTGAGAACCAAAAGTTTAAAAAAATGGTAATAATAAAAATTAAAAATCAAAGTTAAAATAATTTAGTGGAGAGAAAATGAAATTGACCTTTGGTTAAACGATGCGTGCACACATATGTAAATGGCCTATCTTTGGGCTTAAAATAAACTTTCCTTTGATTGTTTTTGATGGCCATAATTTAGTCTTACCCAAATATTTACACATTAACCAGATTAGGTATGTACTGATAATGATCCAAAACTGTCCATTTTGATTTTATGATACCCTAGTGATGATACATGATTTACGGGTTTATGTTTTATAGCTACACTTGAAAATAGTCCATTCCCTTGTCCTAGATGATTGATTGGTTAAATATCAATATTTTATATATTAGGCAATTATAATAAATAATGTCACTAATTCACCACTCAAAAAGTTGGATTTTTTTCCGTAATCTTGTGTCTTTTTTGACGTAACAAGGCATATTAATAAAATAGAAATTTTATGGTTCGAGTTAAAATTGAAATAAAATGATATCAAAAAAATGCCCCAATATATATTTTTTTTTTTTTCATTTTGCTCCTGATTTCTTATTAATTTCTTACACCTTTTATATGTAGACCTTCGTTATTGAGTATGGGCCAAGAATGTGGGGTGACTGTGTAAACTTTGGGCCATATGTGTGAAGTCCATATAAATATATATATATATTTTTTCTCTTTTTTTTCTGCTTGATTTTTAGTTGATTCATTTCCTTTTATAATCAACTATGATTAAGGAATTACAATTTAAGGAATTTGTTTTAAGGAATTTATAGGGAATTAATAAGGAATTTCTTTTTAAGGAATTTCTTTTTAAGGAATTTATAAACTAGCCATTTCATAATATTCTTGCCTTTTCTTTCTGACTTGGAGTTATATATATACACATCTTCCTATAGGTTTAAGATTCATAAAAAGATCTCTTTTCTTCTTTATTATTTGTTATGGGGTTCTTTGGGAAGATGTTTAGAAGCTGTTTGTTTACTTTTTTTGGCTTTTGTTTGAGCGAAGGGAGTGGGTCAAAAGCTGAGAGCATGATTAAAAGTATGTTTTATTCTTTTTGTATCTATTTTAGTTTCTTAATCAAACTGAATTTTTATCTTCTTGTATCCACTTTAATTAGCTTTACACATAATATAGAGTTTTTTAAAAACCAATCTTTTTATGCGGGTAGCTTTCACTCAGCTATCATTACAGGCCCCAAAAGCCCTGCAACCCTTCAGAAATCCTGCGATCTCTCTCCTCTTTCTCAAAAAACAAAAACAAAAACAAAAAAAACATTGTGAAAAAGGACACTACCCACCATACGTTTCACCAAAAAGTGCCACCATGGCTTCATTTTCTTGACCTTATCTTAATCAAATTATATGTGCTCATTAAAAGTATATCTCTCTACCCTTTAATCCTGCGTGGGTTCATGTGTCTTTCTCCTCACTCCAGCTTTCTCCTTCTTTCCCACATGAGAGAGAGAGAGAGAGAGAGAAGGGTTCTTCATCAAAGTGGCAGCAGAGCAAAGGAGTTCACAGTTTGGGGATCTTGAAAGAGTCAATTCTGTGAAGTTTTGCAAAGAGTGGCTAAAGGCTGAATTTTGTCAGGTTCTGAAGAGCTGGGAGTTGTGACTGTTGGTGAATTGAAGCCCAGCATCGCAGGGAAGAGGTCTTTTCGGCCGAGTTCGAGTACAAGGCATGTCACTGAATGGTAATCTTCTTCTCCTTCTCTGTTCCACACACTAAACTAGTACTATGTTTCACAAAAATTAGGTAGTTTCAAACCAAGTATGATAAAATCTGGTTTTTACAGCCTCTAATTCTGCATTTTAACATGAATCTTGATTTATTTTTTTTTGAAAACCTGTGATGGGTTGGGTCTGGTTTATACTCTATACTTTTGGAAAATTTGAGGTTGAATAGAATTAAGTAGTTGAAAATTTTACAGCATTAAAGCTTGATTTGGTCTTGTGCAAGAAAGCAGAGATTCCACCAAGCATCTTCTTCAACTTATATTATTCATTCAGCCCAAAAGTTGTTTTTTCCACTTTCACTACTGAAAAGGGGAAAAAAAAAACTTTAAATTTGAAATGACTTTTTAGTATTGTAAAATAGGTTACTGAATTCATTTCATAACTGTAAGCAATCTTCATCGTGTCCAATCCCCCAAATTTTACAGAAGGTAGCAAAATCACACCTAGTTTTCAAGATTGAATACAACTTGTCGAATATGTGTCAACAAATCTCTTGTGCTTAAAAAGCACCCCCACGAGGCCGTGATGTTAAATGTCCTTATTTCAACACACACCCATTAATGCTCTGATCTGGTTTTAGTATCCGTCTGTCAATATTTTCGCATCTCACCCCTATCCAGAGGCCCTCAAGCGTACGAAGGAGTCATATAATAGATGCTTGAGTATGACATTTTTTACGTGAAATAGACTAAAAATTTGCAAACAGACAAACAGACACGTTTTCTGATTGAAATGAAGGGTCCCAGCATACCCATGAAAGTAAGCGAAACAGCCAAATCAAATTGTTTCCTGAATGCAACCAGCCTTGCAATCTTCATTGCAGGTTTCAGAACCATTGGGTTAAATTTGGCCTTATCTGCTAGAAGTACTGCTTGTGAAGTCCCACTCCTTTTTTATAATTGAGCTTTTGCTTTCAACTGGGGTCCTCCATGTCGAACGTAGGATCCAAATGGATCACTGTATATGAATTGAAACCCCTTTGGAACAAATTGGTATCATAGGCTCAACATGGTGATGAAGATGTAAAAAGAAACCAAGATTTTTAACTAACAATTATGTATGCGCAGTTTTCTTTCTTCATTCTTGATTTTACCCGTCTCTATGATGCTAATTTTGGCATGTCTTGTATCTTGCAGGCCGATATCTGATGTTTCCAGCGATCTTACAATTGAAGTTGGAACAGCAAGTTTTGCGCTTCACAAGGTAAGGCAAATGTACTGCAATAATGAGAAATTTCACCTTTTGTGTAAATCAATAGCTTAAAGTGCCATAAAATCCTTTTAAAATCAAGATTTAATCCAAGTATCCCACGTCAGTTTTTTGAGGAATCAAACAATTTTCAACTTGTGAATTTGAAAATTCAGCAATATTTTGGCTGGAACAAAATAAGAAAATTTTGCTTGAACATTATGGTTTGTAATGGAGGAACCGAGGTAAAATTTTACATAAAAAAAAGTAGATGAGAGTGAAATCTTATTAAAAAAGGCTAACACAAAATAATAACCACAACAATGTTAGAAGAAAGTAAATGAAAAATATGAAAAGGAACTTTTATAATATGATCAGGATTCTTTTGCAGTTCCCTCTAGTTTCTCGGAGTGGAAGAATACGAAAACTGTTGTTAGAAGCAAAAGATTCAATAGTGTCGCGTATAAATCTGTCAGCTGTACCGGGTGGACCAGAGGCATTTGAGCTAGTTGCAAAGTTCTGTTACGGAGTAAACACCGAAATTACTCTATCAAACGTTGCGATGCTACGTTGTGCGGCTCATTTCCTGGAAATGACAGAAGATTTTGCTGAGAAAAACCTAGAAACGCAAACTGAAGCATATCTGAAGGAGAACATACTTCCAAACACATCAAACTCGATATCAGTTCTTCACCGCTGCGAATCACTCCTACCCATAGCGGAAGATATCAACCTTGTCAACAGGATTATCAATGCCATTGCAAATAATGCATGTAAAGAGCAACTCACATCTGGCTTGTCCAAGCTAGAGCACAACTTTCCTTCAAAACCCGAAATAGAAACACCCTCAGATTGGTGGGGAAAATCACTCACCGTGCTTAATCTTGACTTCTTCCAGCGCGTTCTATATGCAGTAAAAAGTAAGGGTCTGAAACAGGATATAATCATCAGGATTTTGATAAATTATGCCCACAATTCTCTTCAGGGACTCGTTGTGGTTAGGGATCCACAATTGGTTAAAGGGGGTTTCTTGGACTTGGAATTGCAGAAGAAACAAAGAGCCATCATCGAAGCTATAATCGGTTTATTGCCAACACAGTCAAGAAAGAGTGCTGTTCCCATGGCATTTCTTTCTAGATTGTTGAAGTCTGCAATAGCGGCATCAGCATCTACTCCATACAGATCTGATTTAGAGAGGAGGATTGGTTTGCAATTGGATCAAGCAATTCTTGAGGACCTACTCATTCCTGCAAATTCTCATGGAAACAATCACAGCCCAATGTATGATACAGATTCAATCCTAAGGATTTTCTCCATTTTCTTGAACTTGGATGAGGATGATGATGAGGATAATCACTTGAGGGATGAAAGTGAAATGGTATACGACTTTGACAGTCCTGGATCTCCCAAGCAGAGCTCACTCCTGAATGCGTCGAAACTGTTGGACAATTGTCTTGCAGAAGTTGCACTCGATTCAAACTTGACGCCATCGAAGTTTGTAGTATTGGCAGAATTACTCCCAGACCATACCCGTATAGTGAATGATGGATTATACAGAGCTGTGGATATCTTTCTCAAGGTGAGCAACCCTTTCTCTCTGACAAATAGAGCTGCAAATGCCAAAACTCGGCTTGTTTGCAGCCTTACCCACAGATGGAAAGATCCATATCATTTCTATATTTTTGTGTCTGGATTTGTCAAGGCTTTAAACACTGTTGTGTTTTGTGTGTGCTTCCACTGACAGGTTCATCCGAACATGAAGGACTCAGAGCGTTATAGACTTTGCAAAACCATCAATTGCCAGAAACTATCTCAAGAAGCCTGCAGTCATGCAGCACAGAATGAAAGGCTGCCAGTGCAGATGGCAGTCCAAGTGTTATACTTTGAGCAAATCAGGCTTCGAAACGCAATGAATGGCGGTCACAATCAGTTGTTCTTTGGCTCTGTCAATGGCCAATTCCCTCAACGTTCAGGTAGCGGAGCAGGAAGTGGATGCATCTCACCAAGAGACAACTACGCGTTGGTGAGAAGAGAGAACAGGGAACTCAAGCTGGAAGTTGCAAGAATGAGGATGAGACTGACTGACTTGGAAAAAGACCATGTTTCGATGAAACAGGAGCTTAGTGTGAAATCACATCCTGCTAACAAGTTATTCAGGTCATTTACAAAGAAGTTGAGCAAGCTAAATGCCCTGTTTCGGATTAAAGATATGAAGCCGATAGGTGGTAAGGCTAATTCAGAAACTCGGATTTTGTTTCAGAAGCGAAGACGTCATGCTGTATCTTGATTCATGATCAAACATGTGCGTACAAGAAAGAAAACACTTTCAATGTTATTGCGAATTATGCGGTGTTGTGTTCAGTGAGATTTATTCTTTGCACTTTTTCTCCCGTTTTATCTAATGGAGTCTTTGAAAGAAAGCACTCAAATCAAACTTCGTAATGGCAACCGTGGATTCCGGTTGTTGTTTTGAACTTGTTTCTGTCCTTCAATTCTTTAAATTTGAGTTATAGAATGTTTTGGACTTGTTCGTTCCAGGTTGGGTGTGATTGGGAGCAGGTGGTTGCTGCCCATGTTTTTAGTCCTTCGCTCGAGCTAGCTGTTTGTCGCTCGAGCGAGCGTGGAGTTTTGTGTCTGGTGGGTCGAGCCAGGGTGGCTTCGCTCGAGCGAGCGTTGCGTCTGGTACCAGGACCTGAACACTGGAATTCTTGGCTCGAGCGAGCTTCTGGTTTGTTTGCCCGCGCGTGAGTTTTCTATGTCTGGTCGCTCGAGCGACCAGGTCTTCGCTCGAGCGAGTCTATCATATTTCAGTAGGCAGCAGTGGGGAAAAAGATCATTTTTCTCCCTCTTTCATTCTTGAAACCCTAGCAGCCGAGAGTCTCTCTCTCTAAACTTATTATCTCTCTAGATTTCATCTCCTTCTAGTATGAATCCATCTTAGGTCCTTTGTTAAAAAGGTAGAGGATGTCGAGGGCTTCGTCTTAATCAGAAAAATTGTGGATTTTGAGCACTTTGATTTCGGGTCATCATCTCCTTTTGAGTTCTCCTTTGAGGTAGGGATTCTCCTTGTTCTTTTTCAATACTACGTCTATAGATAGACATGTGGTAATTTTTGTATTGCATGAAAACCATTTTATGTTGGATTTTTGTATAAATTCATGAGGTTGAACTTTGGGTTAGTTGTTGGATTTAGATCTATTATCATTAGATGTGTTTTGGGGCTAATTGGGTGTTAATTAGCATGTTGTTGTTGTAAGGAGAGGAAACCCTAATATTTATTTGGTTTAATAACTCAATAGAGGGGTTTTGATCATTGGGTAAATACTTGGGTATTTTGGGTTTTGAATCAAGTCATTTTTCTTTGTTGTAGATGATTGAACCTTTTTATCAATATTGGGAGAAGGGGAGGGAAATCCTATTTTAGTGATTATGATTTAATTTGTATAATTAAATTGGAATGGCTTGGAGATGAATGTAGTAGATTAAAATGAGCTTTGGCTTTATTGTCCTTGGATTTGATTTTGTGAAAAACAAAAGGAATAAAACCGGTTTTGAAAAATAAAGAGAGTTGGTTTTGTGAAATGGGAAAGGTACTTTGAAATGAGTATGAATGTTGGATTGTTGTATCTTATACTACTATGTTAGTATTAGTGATAAGTTGATGATCTCATGAAATTTGAGTCTGTTAATAGATGTACAATATACATGCATCTAGAGGTTTTGTCCTTGGTCATCGGTGGAGGATGACATGGTTGTGTTGAATTGTTGTGTATACATTACACCTATGTGTTTATCTACTTTAACTCGTTGTTAGAAAATTGTTGGTTATGTATATGCATTATACATGTTGGATATGCCTTGTTGCATGGTTGTTGTTGGCGTTATATGCCGCGCTTATAATCAAAGGTACCGTTACCTTCCAGCTAGCGCCTGGAGAACTGTATGCGCTAATAATAGAAGGCACCATACCCTTCCAGCTAGCGCCTGGTAAACTGGTATGTTGTTGTGAAGATGTATATCTTTGGCTTACTATGCGCATAGCTAGTAGAGCGAAGTTGGTTGTAGTTATTTCAGTATATCTTTGGCTTACTAAGCGCATAGCTAGTTGAGCAAGGTGGAATTGTTGTTGTTTAGTTGTAACTGAAAATATCATAGATTGGATTGGTTCCAGTTCGGAGAACCGAGTTACTCCATTGATTGATTGTATACATGTGGGTGGGTTGTAAATTTATATTTTTACAAGGTTATGCATGTATAGGTATGATAGTAGTGGAAATGAACCAAAATGTCTTTTCTTGTCTTTTGGAAAGTGTGAAGGAGAATGAATGTTTTAACGATAAACATGATTTGAAAAGGTACATCTGTGTATGTATAGGAAGTGGAAGAGAGTATCGAGCTTAGTGAGATTATTTTCCTAAGTAATTGTTAATGTTATGAAAGAATGGGAATGGGGATTAATGAAAGGAATAAGGAAAGATGAATCGCTTATGCTACAGGATTTGGATCTTCTTATTTGTTGGCCACGGGGCCTCTTTGTTGTTGGCGGAACACCATTTGTGTAAAAGGGTTACACCCCTTCATTTGTTTATTTAAAGGTTGTAAGCCCAAGGGCAATTTATTGAGTATGTTCATGTAACATTTACTTTGCATACGAATGAGAGTATTTATATTCATTTCTATGGATTGAATGTATGAGTTTATTTCCGCATGTTATCTCTGAAATTGAATTAAGTTAATGAATTTGGTAATGGCTTTGAGTAATAAAAAGTGGGGCGTGACACCCCGGGATGTATTTATAATTTATCCTAATATAATTGTAAAAGAAATAGGGTGTTGTAGAAGTATAAAATAGGATGATGTATCACTATGTTCATTGGGATTGGATTCTCTCCTCTCTGTAATCAAACTGCACTGTCCAATCTAGTCCAATGGATTCAATTTTGGATACTATTTCGATAATTCAAATTGTTTATATTTTAGATTTTGTTGAGTACATCATTTCTGTAAAAATCAAATCGATCAGATAACAAAAATCACGTGTTCGAACAATTTTGTATGAACCGTTTATTTTTTTACTGTCTATCTTTTTCATTCAACATTGATCTAAACACATGTGTCGTTATCCGATCAACTTGATTTTTTACAATGATGATGTACTTGAACCCTAAAATGTGCACGGTTCAGATTATTGAAACGAGACTCAAAAATAAATCCACAAAGCCCAACAACGCCTCTCCTGTTCGATAATGGACTAGAGAAAAGCCATAGCCATGTTGATTTTATACTTGTCTTGAAAGATGTTACTAAAATGCATAATTTTTTTAAGGGTAAATTACAAACACAACCCCTAAAGTTTACTTAAATTATAAATTACCCCCTATAGTTTTAGAAATTACATTATGCCTCCTAAAATTTCTAATTTCATAACAAATAGATTCTTTTATTAATAAATCATCAAGTTAATTTACAAATTTTAATAATGTTAAAATTTTATTTCAATTAATAATTCATATAATTTTATTATTGTATAGATGAACAGTTAGAAATTTCACTTTTTCAATTAATTTTGTTAAATAAAAAATTCTAACAGAGAAATATTTGTAATTTTTCAAACTACAGAAAATAATTCATATTTTAAACAAATCTCAAAGAATGTATTTATAATTTACCCTTTTTTTAAAAGACAAGTTTTATCAAAGATAAAAATAATTTTAATTTTTGGATCACAAGATATTAATTTATTAGTAAAGTTAAATTATAATTAACAAGGTTATGCTTGTTCCATTAGCTCCAACCCTTAAAGCCAAACCCACCTCCCTTAAATAACTCAAGTTATCAACAAGATCAATCAAAGTAGCATTTAAGTAAGTACAAATTTTAAACACCAATAGATATAACACGTTATAGTGGCCTCGATTGACTATTTTAGTTAATTTTTAAACTTTTTAACTATTTTAACTCAGCTAGAAAAGTTATGCTTAAAAAGTTAATCAATTAATTTTTTTTTTAGTAATTGATTTGATAATTATAACAGAAAAAGTAAAATAATTATAATTAAAATATAACATTTGATTTTATAAATTATTTCAACATATTTTGTCTTTATTAGCTATTCCCAAACACCTCCAGTGAAAAGTCTAGTTTCACATGAGAGATTAATCTAGGGTATTCCCACCATCTTCGAGTTTAATTTTCTTAGCCAAAATGATAAATTCTACCACCATATGCGATACAAACAGAGCTTTTTTAACAACATTTTCCTATACAATGATATATTTTTTTAATAATCCTTTCATTTCGACCAAAGCATCTATCACAATGTCTCATAATTTAAAAAATGGCACATTCAAGTCAAGCCACCAATCCTAATAACTGCATCGGTCCCAGAAACACATTTATCTTCAACAAATGGAATCGTCTTCCACACAGTCAACTTCATTGGCCTGCAACCTTTGCCTACGTATGTCATGGGAATACAATTTTTAGTATTTATGTAATTTCACATTGTTTAATTCTTATAAAGACAACTTCTCACCTTCAGCAAGACTATTATTTTCCTTGCAAATAGCAGCATAATGAGAACCGGCCAACTCAAAGAGGGCGAATTGGCAATTGCTTGTTAAGTTGGCGGGGTCATCAAAAGAATCAACAACTATTTCAGATGCCTGACAGCATAGTTTAGAAATTAGTAAACAATAAAGTGCCGTTTGGTAATATTTACAGTTTCTTTTTGGTAAAAATAAAAGCACCAAACATGTTTAGTGTTCACATGTTTTAAAAACTTGCTTTGAAAACAAATGAGAAGGGTGGCCAGTGGGAGCTGATTGTCTATAGTCATAGATGGTGGTGGGGGATAGTTTTTGGACACCATGTTTCCATCGGTAGGAGGTGGTTGGCAATGGCTAGAGAAGGTTGCCGGTCAAGGGAAGTGAACCGGAGGTGATTTGTGTGGTCGAAGATGGTGGTTGGTTAAGAAGCACAGATATAGACACGAACACATAGACACGTAAATTTTCAAGAAATGCAGGACAAGACACGTTCAGGACACGTTTAAAACATATATTTTTATTATATGTATATTTTTAAATATTTAATATGTATTTTATGTCAAATATTTAATTTTACCAAATTTATCAACCTTAAGTATACTATTTTAGTAAAAAAATTATAATTTTTTTTGTCACAAAAAATAACACTCAACGTGTTCCTAGAGTGTCCCTAACATGTCCTCAGCATGTTCCTTACGTGTCCCAATGTGTCCTCAGCATGTCCAAAGCGTTCCAGCGTATTCAACTCTTTCCAGTGTGTTTGACACGTGTCCAAAGCATGTCCGGCGCATATCCGTGTCCGACACGTGTTGGACACCTATACGCGACCTCGGGAGAGGTGTCTATGCTTCATAGGTGGCTGGCTGTAGGATGTGGTGGCTGAAGGTGGCTGGAGGTGGTGATCAGTGGTGAATTGTGGCCAGAAGGGCTGGAAGGAGGAGGAATGAATGAATATTTTTTTTTTTTTCCCTAAACACATGAAACCAACTTTCTTGTTACCTAAATTTAAAAAATTTTGTGAACTGCTTGTAAGTTTTTGGAAATGAAAATAGATATCAAATGAATTTTTGTTCACAGTTTTTAAAATTTTCAAAAATATAAACAAAAATAAAATGTTAGAATTTGCATATTTGGATCAAGAAGTAAACGTTAAATGTTCAGTGCAGCAAATTGGGTAAATTTGCATGGCATATTAAAGCAGAAATATCTTTATGAAAGCTAAAACCTAGAGAAAAATGAATTTGTGAGTTGAGCATTGTGTAGACCAAAATACCACGGATGCCAAGTTTTAATTTTATCTATTTCATTCCTCAAGTTTTCAATTCTAGTCAAATCGGTCTAATTTCAGAACAGCCATTTAAATCATTAACGGAATAATCATAAATCATACCTCAGAGTTTGAATTCTGAGATAGATGAAAGCTTCCTCCAGTAGCAGCAGCCCTACACCGGATAGTAAAGGTCCTGAAAGGTGCACCTGAAAAGCCCCTTCCCAAAGCTTTGACATATGCCTCCTGAAAGTTAAATAGACACAACCCAAGGAAGGCAAAAATTAATATTCACTTTAATAGATCAACCATGACAAACCCTCTTAGACTTGATATTACTCAGGGTACATCAAATGACCAAAAGCTCCCCTACATGTTTTTGAAATGCACGTGTAAGCGTAACCCAAAGAGGATTTAAGATTCATGTTACCAAAAATTGAATTTAGATTTGCAGAAGCTTATTTTTGTTGAAAATACAGGCCTTAAGAACCTTCCTCTAAATACATAAAAAATCAATTCCCACCAAATATCAAAACAAGGCTTCTAGACACAGGCATAGGTTAAAGACGACATGCAAAACTCTTTGCAGAACATGCCAAGCTGCGACATTAACAGTCTTTAAAACCAACATAATCATTTGTCAACATTTTTTTTTTTCAAGGAAATGAAATAAAGAAGGAAAAAACTGCACGAATACAGATCCTTAAAAATTTACCTGCATCATTGACAGTAGAAGCATCTCAATTTCACCTCATAAATTTGAAAAAATAAATCCTTTTTGAGCATATTTTGGACTAACATCTCGTTATTATTGATTTTTCAGTGCTTGCATCCTATTCCTTCAAAAGAAACTTCTGCTAAATATTCAAATATAAACTGTCGTAATTTGGTAGAGAGTTCTAATAGGGGTTAGATTGTTTTACTTCCTAACCAAATCAAACATATAATATGGTGCTATAATCTTGTCCATATAAATGAAATAATACTTACTTCTGAGGCTTTCTATGTATTTTAGCAAACCATATCACAAATAATTTTCTTGGCTAAAATTTGATTTGATTTAAATTTAAATATATGTTGAAAAAACAATTTAATTCTATATTGCCAACAGTACACCTAAAACTAACTATTAAAGAAACATAGCTAACGTTTAGTGTCCATAACTTTATGAACTCCTGGCGCTGAACTTCAGGGTCTGAAATAGCAGCTAATGCTGGGATTATCAATATTCACATCTTGTAGTATTATTGGAATTTGGGATTGTCTCATGAAGGAGCATGTTGCTGCATGCCACTTATCTGTTGAATTGTGTGGTTGGGTTGAATGGTATCATGATGAATCTATAACATGGAGCTAGCTATAATATATATATATATATATATTACATGTTAAGAAAATTAATTCATATCCTCTATATCAGCAGTAGAATTCACTCAAGTATGTCATATTAAGAAAATAAGAACTAACTATATATACAGCAGAGATTTATGATTGAAGTTTATGTTATTGAGTTGTGCTTTTGATTGACACTGTAGCAATGGCATCAAAAAAAGAAAAGGAGAAAGATAGCAAAAGCAAGAATTTTAGATGGTTAAAACCTATGCAGACTATGTTGCTTGAGATACTTTTGAAGAGGCTAACAAAGGACATAAACCATCCAATACATTTAAACCGGGATCATTTGCTCGAGTAGCCAAAGAAATTAATGAGAAATTAGGAACTGTATGCCAATCTAATAATATGGAAAACCGTCTCAAAACTATCAAATTCATGTGGAACGTTATTTCAGAACTTTGTTATAGAGACAGTGGGTTTGGATGGGATGACAATCTCAATATGATCACTTGTGACCGAAAAGTATATGATGAAGAAATGACGAGGAAGTGTCGGGATGACATTTATTTTCATAATTATTTGCAAGTTTTAAATTCTCCTTTTTCTAACTATTTGTACTTGGTTTTATTGTCTTCTTTTTAAATAGGCACGTCCCGAACATGAGCAATATTTGAAGAAAATTGAGTTTTATGATGAGATGGATGTAGTCGTTGGTAGAGATATGGCAACAGGGAACTTTGCGAAGCCTTTTGTTGACATAGATGTTGAAGAGAAAATTGCTGAGTCAATTGATTTTGAGGTAAACTACTAATAGGTCCTAATAGTTAGACTTAATTCTTATCAAGTCCTATTAAAAATAAGTCTTGGTAAAATTGTAGTTAAAAATATTTTTTTGTAACAATTTTTTACATACGTCTTTAAAAATTGACAATTAGTGACTTTTTTTTTTTGTCAATATCTTTATAAATTGTCGTTAAAACTTATAATTAGTGGCATTTTTTTATGACAAATTTTTCTCATAGGATCTATTAGATAATAAGTCCACTATTGAGATCTATACGTAAGTACCTCATGATTTTGGCATTGATATGGAAGATGTAACAAAAGGGAAATATGTTACTTCTTCAAGTGAAATTTCATCTGAAGCAAGGTCTCATAAAAGGAATCACCGTGACCAAGATGATAGCGATGACAAGTTATCCGAACAAATTGGAGAAGTTGCTTTAGCAATAAAAAAATTGACGGAGGATCGAGTTAATGTCAATGATCTTTATGAAGAAGTTATGAAGAGCAAGGATATGATGAAATTATGCTTGCCCTATGTTACATGGACTCGGGTACGGGTGTCGGGTGCGGGTATGTATCTAGAGGTCGGACTCATCAAATCATAAATTTAAGGATACGCGGACTCGGCAAAAAAATGTCATATTTTTATATTTTTAATCTAATATGTGAGATAAAATGGTATTATATTTAACTTATAGTGTCAAAATGACATTTATAGCAATTATATAACAATATATACATATAATAATAGTGTTATATACAATTATATAAGAAGTATCCGTTGAAAAGTATCCGACACATATCCCATACCCTTGTCCGAGTGTCGGGTGTCCGACACGGGTATTTGATTTAATTTGAAGAGTCCATGTAACATAGGCAATTAGTACATTCCCAACAAATTTTGTTCTTAAAGTAACTTGTGAGTACCCAATGGCTTTTGAAATTCTAAATTTCTATGCGTATGCAAGCAATGAAATGGTTTGCAATTGCTTTGTAGCTTAGCAGTGCTTCAAAATAAAATTTCTCTCATATATCCATTAGTTCTCATGTGATTCAGCATCTAAGTGTATCCAATATTGATGTTTATAGATCCAAATCCATTAGATTTTTCCTAAGTCTGACTACCAGACGAACTTAATAAGTGAAGTTTTTCATCATGGCTGGAATAAGTTTTTGCAGCGATTAGACATCAAACCAAAAAAGTATTTAAATTTGGGAAATCCAAATTATAAGGTCCAGATAGTTGTGAACATCCAATTGATAACCAGTTTTTTATTTCAGTAAATAAATAAGAAACAAATATAAGTATGATAAATGGCCTTACATCTCGCTATGGTAGTGCGAACCAAGGCACGAGCTAGCAGGGCTCTTTTTTTGAGGTCCTCTCCATACATGCTGAAAACATTTTCTCTCTCGCACGGTGATAGAAGTTCCAAGTATTGATTTAGAAGGGATGCATTCTTCACTTCATTTGGTAAAATGTACCAAAAATGGGTTTCCCTGGAATTTAAAAGAAAATTTTTCTTGTTTTAGTTCATATAATAAAATTTTAAAGCACTATAGTAGTGGCTATGTTAAAAAAAACTCATAAATACATGAAAGAAGATAAATATTAAAAACCAATGGATTGAGAGTTCATCTATTAAGCAGAAGAGATGGTATATGACAAGGAGAATGTAGTAAAATACCTAATAGATTCTGATAAGTCATCAAATTTAAATTCCTTCCACTTACCACAATTACTCTTAAAAATGTTCTTCCTACTTCTCAACTGCACATAACTATCCCAAAACAAGAGACTACTACCATGACACCAACACTAATTTTCAACATTTTCCATGAAAGAATATATACAACTTACAAGACTTAAAAACTGCGCACACGCTAAACCATTTTGAGTCAAATGCAAGGCCAGTGATTGTCTTTTTATCCAAAATAGAGTTGGTTGTATGTTGCACAGTATAATGAATTTCCAATTGGAAAAAAACCTAAAATGGTATTGAATATTAAGGAAAACAGGCTTACATACGTTTGAGATGGAAGTTGTACAGAGACCAGAGGGGATGAAGAATTAAAGAACCTCTGACTCAAGCAATATGTCTTCATCACGGAACTGGCTCTGAGGAGATATGACAACATGCATGCCAGGGATTGCGCTAAATCGTTTTTTCACAATGCTGTGACCAAGGTGTTACAAGTTGAAATCCTCAAAGAAACAACCTGCAATCCAAGAAGATAATTAGGTCACCACAATGTTTATATGGAGTAGAAAGAACGTAAACTTTCAGCCTGCTGGTTAAGATTTGGAGCATGTCATGCACAGGTAATCGTTCTAAGTCCTATACTTGTTTGGAAATAGTTGGGTCATAATTAGTTTAGAAATATTTTGTTTAGTAGGATTTAGGTCCTCCTTTTCCTAGTGGGAAGATAGCATGTTTCTATACAAGGAAAGTTTTGTGAACGTAATTAGACTTGTGTTACCAAAAAAACTAATACCTTAACGAATTACGTATTGGTAGGCACGTTCTAAAACATGGTATACTTTCATTCCAAAACGATAAATTTAGTGATCCGAAACAATTCCACAAGTTTTTTTTCTAATATATTTCCTTAAATGTTTTCTTAGGAAGAAAATTTTCAAATATAATGAACTAAAATCTAAGACGAGTTAAGTTTTGACAAGACAAAACATAAAAAATGGGTTATAATGCTCAAAGAAATGTTTTGCTACATGAAGGAAAAAAAATTACATTTAATTGGATGCCTAATAGTTACAAGAAAATTACTCTAAAAGTGTCTTAAATTCTTAAGTGTAATATATAAAAGTCTACCCCTATCGTATCACATTTTAGAGCATGTAACGTACCATGTTTCCGTTCTTGTTCCCATTCCCATTTCACATACGGGTCGGGTGTACGCAGTGCAGATCGGTGCGGTTCAGGAGAAAAATAGAAATCGTACAGCGGGTGGTGAATTGATAAAAGTGTCATTAAAAATTGTCATTTTTCTTAACAAAAACCAACAGTTCGGTTGGCAAATAATGACGGTTTTAACTTAGCGGTTTGGGTGGATTGACGGTTTATAAAAAAATATAATTCAAATTGTTGAGATCACTACTACTTACCTCATGAGATGCAAGCCGCTGAGTGTGCAATGGGAACCTAAAGGACCACGAACTGAGCTGAAATGGATCCATAAAACTAATCAGGAAATTGATTGTGGACAGGGTACAAGTTCTGTGTAGCAATAAACTGGTACCTGATGAAAAAAAAAATTCATCTTCTGACCTAACATATACTATAGCCTCCTCACTGCTATTACTTGCTGCTTCTTTCTGTCCAGCATTCTTATGCCGTAGGTTCAATCAGAAACCCAAAAGAAAGAAAAGGAAACCAATTATAAATCAAAATGGGAACATGTAAGGAACACCATTGCAACAATTTTAAAGAAAATGCCAAGCAACTAAGGAACACTAATAGGTAAATTTTAAAAATGTTTGTTGCTTGCCTTATATCTTCTCAAGTTAAGAGCAGTAACAACAGAGTAAGGTGTATCATCTTCCTCTTCCTCGATTTTACCAATTGTCCCTACCGTGGTTTGCCCCAATATTAGGTTCACAAAACCACTTATGGCACTAGTTCCGGACACAAAGGTGAGGATTTGTTGGGCTCAATCATAGTGTTACCACTTGGATCATGAATAAAGATCTGACATTACATTTGATGTAGGATGGCTAACCAGAAGAAAACAAATGCAGAGAAAAACGAAAACCACACCCAAAGAAACTAAAATAAACCCTAAAATCTCAATCTCAATATCGCAATTTCATAATCCAAGCTGAATAACACTAAATACAGGCAGGGGAAGAACAAAGAGAAAGAGCAGAGAGAGAGAGAGAGAGAGAGAGAGAGCTAAGTACCACCAGCGAAGAGCAGCGCCGGGGACGAGCGAAGAGCGGCGGCGGTGGCGCAGTGGCAGCAAGGCTAGTGGCGCCGATCGGGAAGACGAAAAGCAGCAGACGATTAATGAAATGAGATGGATTGCGGGTGTCAATTAGGTTGAATGAGAATTGATTGTGTGTGTACAATTAGTTTGATAATGTAACCTGGTATATAGATACAATAATGATTCAGGCCCATAACTTTTACGAAAATGATCATGAAAGATTTATGGCTTTTGGATTATACTTAAAATAAAGTATTACACACTAATCAAGGTAATTCAATGATCATAATTCTTTCATGATCATTTCATGAAAGTTTTTTCATGATTCCTAACTTTTCTCCATAAAACACCACCCTCACAACTCTCACTAATTTGTAATTGGTCCAAGGAAAAAAGAGAGAAAAATATATATATATATATATATATAAACACATCATTAGTCCACGTTACTGTCAAAGGTGGTGGAGGATCCCAAACATTATTCATATACAAATTAGCTAGAATGGAACAGCAAGTTGGGTCGGTATATGGCAGGTTGGCTGTTATAAACTGTCACCGTGCCAACCCGCACCCGCCTGTCAAAAGCGAAAAAATGCGCGGCTCAACTCAATTCGGTGTGATTTTGACGGTATTATACATGACCTTAACTCCCACCACAACCCCTAGCACCATTATTTTCAAGGCCATGATCAAAGTTTTCTTGAATTTATTTTTCAATTTTTTGTGTAAATTTTTTTCTCATATAATACAAACGAAGTGTAAGTCGATATTAGCATGGAGAAATTATACAAACAGGTAAGGAGCTGTTAATATTGAAAAACAGGACATTGTCAGTGAAATATGAACTAAAAAAGTGGTTAAACATCAAACCAAACAAGTTAACAAACTCGACCACCCAGAAACATACATAAACACAAATGAACCGTACACAATATCCCCAATTGAAAAACAAATCTGACTTCTCCACCAGTCAGTAAGTACTCCATCCCAATTCCCATTTAAAAAAGAAAAACACCCTTCACCGCCATGCTTCAACCCTATCTCTTCTTGAGTTTAAACGGCTAGCAATGGCGGTTCCCCTGCTCTTCTCCATTGGCATTGCTACGTGAACCACGACCCTTTCATTTACGTTTTTGGATCCTCTCTTGATATTCGTATTACTAGATTGGCCGGTTTTCTTCTTGCGAGTGTTCAGTTGAGCCCCTCCATTTGGACTGCTAGAACCACCCTCTGTCAGGGTGTCATTTGCAAACTCCCGAGGGCAGTTATCAACCGAATGACCCTTTCCACCATAAGTTTCATTTTCAGTTTTTGAGTCACCATCAAGACGGTGAGCAGAGCTTTCTGATGAGGGTTCTTTGGTGAAAAAGACTTGCACCTCTTCATTCTCGTCATCAACTTCGTTAAACAATGACTGCGGATAGCTGTGGTGTCCATTTTCATCAGAAGGATCTGTTTGGGATGTATGAGGCTGTTCGACTACAGAGTCTGCTCTTTCTCGCATTGTCTTGACAGTAAGAGTCTTGAGAAAATTCATTACTTGAACTGCATACATCAACGCTGTCAAAGGATCTGCCATCTGCAATTAGCAGTCAATTATTGAAATTCTCATTCCGCCATACACACTAAACTGACCATATCATCAAAACCAAAAGGAATTAATTTAACAGAAAACCATGCCAAACTCGTAAATTTGAACACTAGTCAAGTGAAATTTTGGCATAAATTGAAAGCATAACCTCATTATGTCATTGACAACATTGACACGGATAATAGGTTGATACACTAACTTCAGCTCATAGCAAAATAGTCTTCTGCAATCTCTTTTCAACCAATTCCAAATTTTAATACAAGTCTCTAATACTTATTTTCCTTTTCATGTTCTTTTTAGTATGGCGAATAGTTCATTGAATCCATGTTATGAAGACCTTTGAGGAAAAATGAAAAAGTCATCTGACATCATACATTTGTTGTAATTTAAGTGTTTGTTCATACTCACCTGGGTCATGTTTGGCGCAAACACCATAGCAATGTTACGAGCATTCATTTTGTTAAAATTTTCAAGCTGAGCAACATCAGCCATTAGGTTTATTGCCCAATCCAGAAGAGCAGCTTCTGTTGGTGGAAGGCACCTCGCAAGCCGAGCACACTCCGATTCTGACTGGGCTTGCATTATCTCCTCCGGAGGCAGGGAATCCAAAATCCCATTTGGTAGTTCTCGAAACCAAGCCTACAAAAAACCACACAAACTCTCACAAATTAGAACAAAATGTCACTCTTTAGAAAGAAGAGATGCTACACAAACAAAATTTGTGAGCAGAATATTATGCACACGATTTTATGGCTTTAATTGAATAGTATTTGAAATAGGGTTTCTAAGAAAACATTGTTTTGGAATTAGAAGAAAACAAGATTTTGGGATTATGAAGTTCAGATTAAACAAAATAGTTCCTCCATTCCCCATTATCTCAGGCTACAACAAACAAAATGAATGAATATTAATGGCGATGGCATTGCAAAGAAAAAAATAATTACCTTTATAAGGCCTGCTAAGCAGTGCACATCAATGTCATTTGGCACCACCCCACTATTCAATTGTTCCCGAACATACTCTTCTTGGCTGTTATCAGCATTTATTCTAAATATTCCTTCTGCCTGCGTGTTGAAGTTCGAAGATCAAATTTTCACGTCCAACAGTAAAACCGCAGAGTAGATATTAAGCCATTGTATGCCAAGAGATGCCTAAATATACATGAAAACTCTATTCGTACAGAATTCTTTACCAATTTTGAAATTAAATGCCACCTTCATAGTTTCTTTGTTTTAAAATGGTAGGTTCAAGTCTAGACACATTAGTTTATATTTCATTTCTGTACATATCTTCTGCAGTCACATACCTGTAGGCCACCTTGTTCATACAAGCGTCTCTGCATCATCAGAAGTATTGTCGGCACGCTGTTCCCTCTGGAGTCGAATGAAAGCTGCATCGACTCCGTTGAAACTCCAAAAACACTTGTACTGCAGATAACACACATCATTTGTCAATATTTCCAATAGGAATGAAAATGTGCAACACTACAAAATTTTAATCAGGAATGAAAACAAGGATAGCAAGCAACAAATTTTCACACTCTCATAAACAGGTACCAATGAAAGCAAGCAGACACAAATTCTGTTATGTGTATATATAATAGGTTTCCATAAAACTGTATCTGATAGACAAAAATATAAGAATAACACAGTTGATCGCAAAACTGTAGCAGACTACATTTTTTAAAATATTTTTTTCTGGACTCGTGAAATTTTATCAGCAGTAAAATAAGTTGCTCACAATCAAACTAAGGTTGAAAAACACAATCAAAGGAAAACTAAATGCTGTCTACCTAAACTTTTTTTCTTTCCTTTTGGTTTTTATTGGCAATGATATACTGATAAATGTGGCATAACAAGCAATAAAAACAAAAAAAGAAAATCATTCTCTCACAGATGAATATAAGAAAATTACTACTCCTATTTGATTTCCAATAAAAGAATCCAATGAAATAGCAAAATGACCATCAAAAAATTTCAATCCAGAAAACAATAAACAAAACAAACTGCCCAATGTGAATCCCATTAAAGAATGTTAAAGAGAGAGAAAACCATGACCCATGTAATTAATTTTGAAACTCCATAATAAATTCTCATCAAAAAAAAAAAAAGGAACAAGAAAAAGAACCCAGAAAAGATCAAAACTGACCTAGCACTGGGAGGCCTTCTGGGAACTTAGAAAAAGAACCCAGAAAAGATCAAAACTGACCTAGCACTGGGAGGCCTTCTGGGAACTTCAGGTTCAAACTCAACAGGAAGACCAAGAAACCCATTGAATCGATCAAAGGTAACATGGGCTACATGCCTGACATTTGTAGGCTGCCCAATCTCCATTGAAGAAGAAGAAGAAGAAAAGCCTCCAAAATTCTCACTCCTGCAAGCAATCAACGACTTCCTAAACACAGTCACCACAACGGCCAACAAGGACAGCTGATCTCCACCCTCCTCTTTCTCTCTCCTCCTCTTTCTTCTCTCTCTAGTTGCTCCTCCTTCTTCCACCTCCTCTGTATCTCCTCCCCTGTATACGGGTAGAGAGTACGAGGTGGGGCTGTTAAAAAGGGGGTGATGGTTGAGATGGGCTTGTTGGTGTAACCCATCATTGTGAAGTATGGAGGAGCTTGGAGAAGAAGGCAAATGAGATGGCGATTGGAGTATTTCAGTCATATTTTCCAAAAATTGAATTTTTTTTATATGGGTTGTTTTTTATTTTTGAGATGGGTTGGTAGATTAGTAGATTATAGAGAGGAGTGAGGGATTGGAGAACTGGGTACAATTACAAATGAGAGAGAGGTTTGAGTGGAGTTGGAATGAAGGAAAGGTGGTGTGGATGGTGAGAGGTGAACATCAACATTGATTACTGATTTCTTATGCTTTATAGATACACATTTGTACACATGTATGTATACTTTGGATTTTTCAAGCTTGGCTGGCTTTGCTTTGGAGGAGTCTAAAGAATGGGAAGTAGTGAAAGGAAAGGTAGTGACGAGAGAGAGCAACTTGTGGTACATTATGCGCTCCTTTGGGAAGAAAGAAATTCAGGTTTTTTTTTGTTTTGTTAAAATAGTCAAAATAAAATAAAATTTTTAATTTAATATTATATCTAATTCATAATTATTATATTTTTCTCTCACAAAAATTTAAAAAGTCAAAAAGTTTATCCCAAATAGTCTCGAACATACTATTTTAGTAACTTTTTACTTTTTGGCTAAAATATGAGGTAAAAAAAATTAGTATGTTTAGGATGATTTTTTGATTTTTTACGAAAAGATGTACAAAAAATAGAGAGAAAATGAAATCTTTAACTTTTTGGTATAGGTTGTTATTTTTTTTGGTGACTTTTTAGCTTTTCGACTAAAATCACCCATTGCCAAACGAGACCTAAAATAGTTAAAAATTCAACCCATATCCCAAACAAACCCTATCGAGAGAGGACATTTAGGAGTTACGGAAATGAGTATGGGTGTCTAGTGTATGTATTTTATAATTAAAAAAATTATAATATAATTTTATATTTTTTAAGTTATAATTTGAAAAAATAAAAAATATCATAACTAAATACAATATAAGGGATTTTTAATGAATTTATGAGTTATAATTAAAATAACATTATATCATAATTTAAGAAGAAAATTAATCATAATTTTTTTTAAAAAAATGACAACTATAAGTATATATGGTATATCCTTTTTAAACGTGCATATATTAAAATTTTCCAAGAGTTCCACACTAAGAATTTATTTAGAATGTGATCATAAAAAACACGTTGAGTTCCTCTCAAATTTAAAAATTTTAAGAAGTCTGTGAGATATATTTGTCGTTCGGCAAAAACATTTTTAGTTGGCTTTTTTGAGTTGAGATTTTTTTAGTTTAGGATTAAAAAGTTCATTTGTGTTGACTTTTTTTAAAGAAAAAATAAAATGATTATAGTTTGGATGTGATATTTTGTCTTATTGATATTTTTAGCCTATTTTATCTTTTAGTGACTATTTTAGCCCCAACTGGCTTTGCCAAACGAAGCCATAATTGGATTTTATGCTATGTCATAAGAAGGTTGATTAATATTTTAATCGCACTTACTAGAAATTTTATGAAATAATAAAAATTATTTAACATTTTTCCTAAAAACTTCTTAGTCCAAAAAAATTATTCTCATACAAAACTCAATTTAAAAAAAAAATCCAAAAATTGCAGTGTTGAAATATTCTTTTTTTTTTATTAAAAAAAAAAAACTCAAATACTCAAAACCAACTATCAAAATGACACCCTCTAAATAAATAAATAAATAAAAACACTACATGCGATTGTATTCTCAACCCTTATATGATTTTTAGAGAGAAAAAAAGAGGCTTGAGATATAATAATTGTGTTCATTTATTCAAGCAAGTCCATGTTTATTAATGTCTATCAATTTGCAAAGTTGTTGGATAATGACAAAAGATTAGCGTGGAAACATTAGTGGCATTTTATGTCTAAAGTAATGATTATTATTTCTACCATTTATAGTTCATATTTCCAAAAATGGGGACAAGCCAATAGCTCCCCACAGTAAAATTCAAAAGTTGTGCCCTAAAAAAAGTAAAGTTATGGGCCATGAAAGATATTAAAATGTGGCGAATGCAACCTAAAATCATTTTTCCCACTACTACTGTTAACTCATTGTTGATTGAGGGCCAAATCAAGTCTTAAGAGGTCACATATTTTTCTTTTCTTTTCTTGTCTTATTTTTCACACTATAAGTAAGGGGTGGACATGGACTCGATGGTTTGCTAAATCTGCTTAACTCGTGTATAATTTATACAATTTAAAATTATAATTTAGACTCATAGAGTCAAGTTGTTTAAATTTTTTAAGCTCAATTATAAAATGAATCGTGTTTGAAAAGAGTGCTTCAAATCTCCCTATTCCTTCCACAAACTATATTATGCAATATATTTTTTTTATAAATACACATATCTACAAGTACGTTTACATTGTTTAATTTTATTTTTTTATAATCATAAATTATGTATTACTAGATATGTAAAAAAATTAGTTATGAAAATTAAACTACCAGCCTTGGATAAATTAAATTAATTATAATTTTTTATTTTAAAATATGAAAAAACCATGTAAATTAAACAATATTTAAGCCATGTGGGGGGTTTAGATTTATTTTATTTTGTTTTTAGACGATCTTGTTAATAAATTATAGCTTGATCTCAGGTCGAGTCGAGCTTAAAAAATGACTTCAAATGTTATTATATAATATGGGCCCAGCCCAAACTTGCCCAAGCCCAACCTGTATTCACCCCTAAAGGTAGGTTGTTAACGAGTTAATAAAATTAGATTATTATATTAGGTTGACACTACTCGACTTAAAATTGAAATCTCAGCTCTTTGTCACCAAAGTATTTCTCATGACCACTTAAGTTATAGTCCAGATCATCTATTTATCAAGTCCATTAGTGGATTGACAATAAAAACACAAGATGGATGGTGACAGATATATTGTTATGAGTAATGTTATATAAATAGAAAAAATATATATATTAAAAGATAGTTGTATTGGGATTTATTATTTTAAAACAAAATGTTCACTAAAATAATATATAAGAATAGAGTATTTCCCTATTGGTATTGCTAAAAGAAACCATTGCTTTAAGGATTGGTTTTATAAATTGAAGCCACCTGAAAATCTTGAATTGGTTCTAATGTGGTCCAGAGTAAGAGACACATTAAATAGTGTTTTAAATCACAAAAAGATAGAATAAAAAGAAGAGCAAGTAGAAAAAAAAAATTAATAAATAAATAAATAAATTAAAATAAAAAAATGTATGGAGTGATTAGGCAGTCATCGATACCAACACTGATGGAGACCACAAATTTTAGGTCTCTAAAAAGACCACTAATGACATGACACTCAATAAAAAAAGAAAAAAAATACAACACCAAAACCAAAACATCAAACAACAATGATTTAGACCACTAATTTTGGTGCTCTAATGGAGTACTAATGACATGGCAATGAATAAAAAAATAAAATAAAAACAAATCAAGACTAAAACATCACATCACTGTGGGTGGAGCCCACTGCCAACTCATTAGAGCTACCTTTAGAGGTAAAAAATTAGAGCTCCAAAATATTTTTCAAACATCAAATCATTTATGGTGAAACTTACTGCCACATCATTAGTGGGAGCACTAATTAGTGCTCCCACTCATTTTCCTTCTCTTAAAGGTTAATGGTGAAAGTTTCTTTTATTTATACCAAACCAAATATGAGATTAGATATATTGATTGGATGGCCATTTTATTCCTATATTATTATGGTGAATCAAACGCTCCTTAAAGTTTTGTTTGAGTATTAGATTTTATAAGGAATTTGTGGAGGGAAAAATAAATGAAATAAGAATTTATAATTTTTTGTCACTTTCTTTTATATTTTCTTTTTCTTATATAAATCGTTCCTTAAATCCTAAATTCAAAAAACAACCTAACCTTATGAGAACAAGGATTTAATATGTAGAATTTTATGTGTTCTTAACATTTTTGATTTTTTATAGACATTATGAAGAGTAGGTCTCACTCTCTCTATGTGAGAGAGAAAATAGTTTTATTTATAAATTTTTAAGTGTGAATATCTTTACTCAATTAAAAAAAATCACTTGAATTTTTTTTCTAAATAATCTAGTTTATAAGTGTAAAAACTAGAAACTTGGGTAAAAAAAGAAATAATAAATAAAAAGGATGTGAACATGACAAACAATATGAAAAACATAAGTGAACTAAAAAACATATAGCAATCAAATGAGGAAGACATGTTTAAGAGATAAATAAGAAAAAAAATTAGTAAAGTAGACAGAAAACATAAATAAATAAAATTACATAAGCCTCTATGAATATTTCTTGGTGACTCTAATAGATCGCATACTTTGTTTGGTTTTGAGCTTTCAATTATACATACATATATATATATATATTATTTTTAATGAATTTTTTAATATTTTGATCAATTTTTTTTTCCTTTTTAGATTTATCTAATATAGATGTAAGAAATTTAATTAAAAAAAATTTAAGGAATACAAAAAGTATTGAATTTTTATATTTTTTTAGTATTTAGTGAATTTTTAATAAAAAATTTATAAAAATTATAATATTTATGTTAAGTGTGTTTAAAAATTAAAAAATTAATTTAAATATTAAAAAAAATCAGTAAAAACAAAAAATATAAAAAAAAAAGGAAAGAAATTTTTTTTGAAAAATATCTTCAAAAAATTGAAAGCAAACATTTTTATTCATGATTTACAGAAAACATAAATAAATAAAATTACATAAGCCTCTATGAATATTTCGTGGTGACTCTAATAGATCACATACTTTGTTTGATTTTGAGTTTTCAATTATATATGTGTACATATATATATATTATTTTTAATGAATTTTTTAATATTTTGATCAATTTTTTTTTCCTTTTTAGATTTATCTAATATAGATGTAAGAAATTTAATTAAAAAAAATTTAAAGAATACAAAAAGTATTGAATTTTTATATTTTTTTAGTATTTAGTGAATTTTTAACAAATTATTTCACAAATTTTATATTTTTTTAAGTGTATCTAAATTAAATAAATCTAAATTTTAAAAAAAAATAAAATTAAATATTAAAAAGTACAAAATAAAAACACAAACTATTTTTAAAAACTTCAAAATCAAACAGAGTGATTCTTCTTCTTCCTTTTTCCTATACTTTGTACACATCATATTCACAACAATGCAGTTTTGTTGCTTGTGTTGGGGTTTGTAGAAAAAGTATGGAAAACATAATGAAGTAAAAGAAACGAAAAGGAAAAATTAGGGTATACCCATGCATCAAAGTTTTGTTCTTTTGGAGAGAAAGAGAGAGGGCCAAACGGCAACTGTTTAAAATTCAAACACTAATAGGCGGGCAGCTGGCTAACTTTTGCTCTCCACAATACTCATAACTTCAAAATAAATAAATAAAAGTAAATTATGAAGAAATTCCCTAGGATTTGGGTTTAATATTGAACCCATGTTTCAAAAATTACACTACATTTCTTGTCAATGTTTATTTTTTAACAGCTGACAAAAAACTTGTAACTCTTGTAATTCTTAAACTGTGTTTGAAGTATGAATTCAGACAGAAATTTAGAAAGAATAAGAAAAAATGTGTAAAATATAAATAAAATGTAGTAATATTTTATTTATATTTTAGCTATATTTTCCATTTTTCTTTCCATCTCCCTACCTAAATTCATGCTCTAAATACAACATTAAAATATTTCCAATGGATTCATTAGCATTAGTAGTTAGTGTAAAGTCTAACAATTTTTTATTTTTTATTTTCAATGGGTGTTTTAAACATATTGTTAATTGGGTCAGTAGTCAAAAAAGTTTGCTAATTGTGAGTGTTTTAAATATATTGTTAACACAATTTTAATCATGTTGCGATTTCTTATAGGGCAAGAGTATCATCACTTAAAACCTCGTTTGGCAACCTTCCTTTTTAGCCAATAAGTCAAAAAGTTACTAAATTAGCCAAAAAACCAACAACCCATACCAAAAAATCAAAGATTATCTTTTCTCTTTACTTTTTGCATATCTTTTTGTAAAAAATCAAAAAATCATCCCAAACATACTAATTTTTTTTAGCTTATATTTTAGCCAAATAGCTAAAAAATTACTAAATTAACCTGTTCATTTTAGCTATACTAGCACCCATTCACTATCTAGTCCCAATTCCACCATTTTTTTTTTGTTGTCAATTAACAAATACTTCAACACACAATTTTCGCCATGCCAGTGAATTTTAGCCATGCAAGTGGAAATGCTTTTAATCACTTTAAAACAAACTTTCGTGAAAACATAAAATCACTACAACCATCAAAACCAACCCCCTCCCACATGCCACAACCACCTTTTACCCCACCATCAGCCACCACCACTAACCACTACCATCCTTGCCTCACCTACCAAAGCCACCAATTACAGTCACTACCAAGCTTTTGACACATGCTTCCCTAGACATTGCATGGCTATTGATTCAGTCATCTAGAGAAAATAAAAACTCACACTAGCTTTCTCTTCTAAATGAGGCATTCAAAGAGCAGAAAATAGTCAAATTTCAATCAGAGTATTTCTAAAGTTATTGCAAATGAACAAAAAATCCAACAACCCAATAGGTTTTGATATCTGAGTTCACCTTAAATATGGTATCCCAATTAATAGGATTTGATTAAAGTTCAAAATTAACAAGCTCAAGCTCAACCAAATTAACATACGAGGTGCAAGTATATGCAAGTGCCCATGTAATCTATGTCGAGTGAAGGTTACATAACAACATCCTAATCAAAACAAGTCAGATCCATAAAAAGTTCACTAAATTTATCGTTTCTATAAGCCGCTGAGAATGGTTTGACTCGAACATTCTTCCTTCTAATACTAGCAGCTCTATTATACTAAAAGAGCATGCTACTATATATTACATTCCACCAATAATAATTCAGTCGGCAATCACTGTGCCCTGCTTACTGGTTCAAGTGCTTCAACAGTAACCACACTATTACCTCTGATAACCTGCACAGGAAAAGAAATACCAGTTTCAAAGATGAGATAATGGGAATACAATAATAAAATGGCAATTTCACCCTTTTTTCAAAATTTGAAAAAAGAAGAATAAGATGAGATAAAATGCTTAACAACAGAGACCCACCACCATGCCTATATCGTTTTTCTCATTGCCATTCACTTCCATGGTGTTGTCAACCACGAGATTCATAAACTGATCAAAACCGCGGAGTGTCCCAACCACCATCCGATTTGCATTCAACTTGACTGAAATGCAGAATACCAGTGAAAACAAATATACAAGTTTTTCTTATGTAAAACTATGAAATTTATTGACCGCCAGTTACATAAAGTAAATCCAAATAAAACACAATGCAAGAACTTAACAATGGTTGAAGCTGTTGCACCAAACTGAACTTAACAAAGGATATTTGTCTACGTTAGTTTGCAGAAAGTGGTCACAACTTCACCAACTAGAAGTTGATAAATACTGAATAAGATACACTCAGTGTTACCAAAAATGCTAATAACTAACACTTTAAAACATGGTACGCTCTCATCAACAATGGTAAATTTGGTGATCCAATTTTTTTTGGTACTTATTAAGGTATAAATGAGGAAAAAAAAGAAAAAAAAGAAAAAAATCTAGAGAAAGTGGAGTTAAGTTGGACCAAATGTAAAAAAATAGGTCATAATGCTTCTATATATGTGACACCGCCACCTCCATTGAAACTCATTTTTGGAACCAGTAAAGCCCCCCTCATGGAAATTCTAACATTGTTGAAGCACACCTACACCATATACAATGGTTGAAGCTGTTGGACAAAACTGAACTTAACAAAGGATATTTGTCTACGTTAGTTTGCAGAAAGTGGTCACAACTTCACCAACTAGAAGTTGACAAATACTGAATAAGATGGACCTAAGAAGCATGGACACGGACACGTGACACGACACGGATATGACACGAACACGCTGACACGTTAATTTTCAAAAAATACAGGACACGATACGTGGGGGACACGCATGAAATATATAATTTTATATATTTATTATATATTATATATATAAATATATCATTCAAATATAATATAAAATGCAATATGACACTAATTTCTATAAATTTATGTGGGTTTTGTTTTATTATTATATCTTAAATTGTTGTATTCAAGCTTATAATTAGTTTCACATGTGTCTAATCGATAGACACGTGTGTTTAAGTGATTGACACATGTGTCCTCCAAGTGTTCAAAGAATGTTTGGATTTTTAAAAAAAATTTAAAAATAGGACACGTTTTGAAGAGTGTCAGACACGGGTCCTAAGAGTGTCCAAAGAGTGTCGGTGTCCGACACAAACACGACACGGATACGTCACCTTCTTAGAAGTGTCCATGCTTCTTAGAGATACACTCAGTGTTACCAAAAATGCTAATAACTAACACTTTAAAACATGGTACACTCTCATCAACAATGGTAAATTTAGTGATCCAATTTTTTTTGGTACTTATTAAGGTATAAATGAGGAAAAAAAAGAAAATAAATAAATAAATCTAGAGAAAGTGGAGTTAAGTTGGACCAAATGTAAAAAAATAGGTCATAATGCTTCTATATATGTGACACCGCCACCTCCATTGAAACTCATTTTTGGAACCAGTAAAGCCCCCCTCATGGAAATTCTAACATTGTTGAAGCACACCTACACCATATACACATCTATGCCATACTTCTGCTTGGGTTTACAACACAGTCACATAGTATCCATTAAAACCTACACAAGCACTAAAACTCACCTGCAATCATGATTCATGATCTATCATCATTAATTTATATCATGTTATATACACATGGACGCATACACACAACACAACCCCCAATCCTATGCAAAAAATCATTTTTATCAATTTCTCTTGAATCTTAGCAATTTGTAGAACAAAATTTTAAACTTAAGGCTTCAATTGACATTAGCTTTGCTGTGTGACAATGGTTTCAGTACAACTGCCAGTTGGTCTGTGGTATGGGAATGGTCATAATGGTCAGTGTTTAACATGCTAGGGATTCTCGACTACAATGGTCTAGTGATGGTCTGGCAGTGGTAGATTCAAGATTTTGGCCGAGAAGGGGCAATATTGAGTTAAAACCTTATCAAAATCTATCATTGTGTTTAGAAGGGTGCGATTTATGCAAGCTTAACCCTATCATACCACATTTTAGAACACGTAGTGTTTAATGTTTCTGATCTCGTTCCATGTACGAGGACAATCCATGATCCCATGAAACATATTGTTACACTTTTCCAACAACAAAAGTATAATGGCTATTTACTTTGCTTGTCAAATTGGCCATATATTTTTACTCTCTGATAAAACAAAACCGTAGGTCTGTCGGAACTAAAAATTTATGGCCAAGTTGAAATGCAAAGGGCCTAGTTGCCAAGTTCATAAGTTTTTATGTAAGAAGGCTCCTTTTCTTGCCATTGTGATTTTCTTAACCATATGCATTTTAATGCTTGTGATTGTGAAAATACTTCTCATATAACATTTAACTCATTTTTTATCCATAATTCGTTAGTCAAATAGACGAAAACATAATGTTATTATCTCTTTTACATTGAAATGTATATTCTACATTGTTTATCTTTGTATCTTGATAGCATCTACATTAATTTCGGTCCTTTTAGCATTACTAAAAGGGAGGTCAGGGTAATTATACCGAAACTGTAGCGCTACTTGTATTTTTTCCAAATCTCGAAGGAGATCTGTGTAATTTACCCAAATTTACTTTTAGGGGACAAAATGCTGAGGCAGAACAACCTACTACTTGGCTGCACATTTGCAGCCCTAACTGAACCTTCTTGTTTATTCTAAATACACTATTCTCTCATTTTTTTAAAAAAAAAATTAATTTTTGTCCAAACCATTCCTAAAAATTCTTTCTCATATAATTTCCAACTTCCAAATTATCTCAACCCGAATGGACAACTGAAATCCTGCATCTGCAACAATGATTAGATGAAATTTTGCTTCTGTTGTTTCAATTTCCAAACAAACAGAAACACACCCCATCTCAACTAAGTTAAATTGAGTAAAAATAGTTTGTATGGCGTATATATACTGATTTTTTTTGTTTTCTCAGCAACCAAACAGCTACAAATAGTCATCTAAAGAAGTAAAGGAGAGAAAAGAATTCAAAGTGCACGAGTATGGGGAAGAGAACTTACTCTGTAGCTTCTTGTCCATGTATCTGTCAACCAAAAATAAAAAATAAAAAAATAAAACAACATTATTGACGACGAAAGATTGTATGGAAGAAGTCCTAGAACTGAGAAGAGAGAGAGAGAGAGAAAGAGGACTTACTTCTTGAGATCTGGAGGCTGGCCTGACCTGCTCATGGTGAAACCCTAGAGAGAGAGAGGAGAGAGGTAGCTGTTGAAAATGAAAACTACTGAAAAATGTGTGGGTTCATACTCTTTGTAGCCCAATAAGGATGGTGGCCCAACGGGCTTTTAGACAAAGAAGAACGGGCTGAAACACAATTTACTCGGCCCTCGATTGATAATGGGTTAAAATGAGATTAGTGGCTTTTTTTAGTCGTAAAAAAGCAAAATAAATTAAAAAATTAATAAAATAAAATATCACATTTAAATTATAATCATTTCATTTTTTTTCACAAAAATTTAAAAATCTAACCCAGATTAACTTTTTAGCCTTAAGCTAAAATGACCAAAAAGTTAATCAACTTCTCAAACAAAACCTTATTATACACTGTAAATGAGCTGAGTTGAGGGTAATTCTATTTGAACTCAATAATTGTCTCTCAACTCAAATTTTAATTCTCATTAAACTATAATGTGAATTTATTAATAAGGACAACACATTAAAATAATTTTTTTCTCATAGTATACCCTAATAAATTATATGTATTATTCCTATTCAAATTTGTTCATCTTCTTCCCAAAGCTTTAATTATTTTCTCTTCTTCTTTTTCCTCACTCCAAAACTTCAATCCATCCTACCAAAACTCACTACTATCATCAACATCGTTATTTTTTATTATATTGTTACTTGCAATTAGAAGAAAATTTGAACAAAATCAAACAATCTATGAGAGTAATAATCAAAACATTTTTTGAAACAACTCATCAAAGATGACATAAGTATTCACATAAATATCAAAATGCAATTATAGGTTTTTTTTTTTTTTACATAAAAGCAAATATTCAGCCTATTTTTTTGATATTATTGTTCGGACTTTCAGAACTGAACAATTTCACTTTGTTCGGTTTTGAAAGTCCGAACAATAATGATGAAAAACAAGCTAAATATTCGTCGTCCTCCTTTTCCATTCTCCTTTTCCTTCACCGTTCTCCTTCGCCAGTGCCGGATTCCCTAATTATATTCCATGTATATACGTAAACAAAAGAAAAAAATTTCAAAAGTAATTTAAAATTTATTTTATTTAGGTAACCCTTAAAAGGGTAATTTGTGAGAAAAAAGAAGAAGATATACTAAGAATAAATTGTAATCCTAAATAATTTAATAAAGTATACTGAAAAATTGAGCTCAATTAAACATTTTATGAGTGTAAATAGAATCCACTGAGTTGAGGTTTGTAGTATTCGAACTTGGTTTATCGAGTATGAAATTCTAGGGTGATTCTATTTGCACCAAAATAATAACTCAGTACATTCAATGCTCTTCATCTTCTTCTTTAGGTTTCAATTATTTTCTTTTCATCTTCTTCTTCACTCTAAAACTCCAATCTTATCCATCAAAACTCACAATTATCATCAATATCATTATTTTTATTGTGTTGTTATTTACAAATAGAACAAAACAAGAACAAAATAATATGTGCCACTGTATATATATATATAAAAAAAAATCAAAAAAAAAAATCTAGAAATTGTTAGGAACACAATAATTTTTTTCATTCAATTAATCAAATCAAAAAATAAAAAATAGTATCTTGCTGAATTAATCAAATCGAAAAATAAGTAATGTCTCGTTCAATTAATCAAACATCAACTAGTATTATCCAGGAAAGCTTTTGTTCTTGGGAATTGTTGGATGGTCATTGAGAGATGCCATAGAGGTTCAACAACAAAAGTGTTTTTTAATCTTCATGGAATTATCATGAGGTTTTACAACTGTGGGGACATAATTTTTGAATGACAACACGTGGCCAAGGTGGCACTGAAGTGCTAGCCGAGGTGGCACCGAAGTGCCAGTCGAGGTGCCACGTGTCCTGGTCGTGACGCTGAGATAATCTCAGCTAGGCCTAGGTTATCTGCGAAGATACCGAAATCTGGGATAAGCGGATAAGGGACAAAAGTCCTAGAATGAGAGAGGACTTCAGTTTAGATAAAGATAAGACTCTTAGAGAGTTTATCCCAATCTAACTGGCAGTCCAGGATTAGCATTGAGCCAGAGTCCATTGAAGCTAGGCTTCTATTGGGATTATGTCAGTATTGGCTATAAAAGAGAGGTACCCTCGTGGGTCTAAGGTACGCTTTTTGTATTCTGAATAGTGAGTTAAACACTTTTGCTATCTTTGAGAGATAATTAACTTGATCGTCGGAGTGCCCCCGGGTGGACGAACCACTGCTGGAATCTTATCTTTCTGTGACAGGTTGTTCGGGCTTAATCTATTCTGCCGGTGCTCTCCAGCTGAGTACCTGTTTGGCAGTGTGGTCAGAAATCGACACACACAATTTGGCGCCGTCTGTGGGAAAGAAAGGAGAATAGATGGCCAACGACGGACAAAAAGAGAGGGTTGGAAACGACATTCCTACTGGAAGTAGCAAACATGTTGACTTTAACGTCGACGAAGATAATTGCAACAAGAAAACTTGGGATTAGAATCCCGGAGAGAAAGACGTCAGCCAGGAAGACGACGTACCAAAGAAATCAGACTGAAGCGGGTATTATAACGAGGACGACCTCCAGGTATGGAAAGATAGATGCCTGCAGAGGGACAACAAGATGAAGAGAATGACAAACGAATTGACGAACCTGCAAACGATCGTCAATTTCATGATGCAGAACAACGTCGTGCAGCCACTGTTTTTATTACAAGATACGCTGATTCCAGCGGCCAAGAAAGATACCCGAAAAGGGAGGCAGAAAACAGTTCCTGTGGTTCCACAGCACGACAGGATTAAGGGACATTCTCACTGGCCTTCGTGGGAGATCAGGCATGAAGAATCAATGAGGAGAGAATCCCAGAAGACACGTCCAACTAAAGAAGCCTGCACCAAAGAACATCGGGATGTTCATGCAAAGGAACTCTGTTTCGACACGACCAATGGAGGGAGGTCCAAAAGGACTCATAATGACACTAGAAGTAGCACACCGAAAAGGCTGAAATCCGGTGATGGTCGAGCTCCTGGGCGGACCAAGGAGAATCTGAGGGATTACCTCCAGAGGAAGCGACAAGATGCTGAGGTAACCTCTCCGGTCAAGCCGAGAACGGTATTCTCGGTAGAGTTGGACAAATTTGAGGCCCCGAAAAGGTTCCATATGCTGAGATTCCAGATATACGACGATAAGTTGAACCCCAACTTTCACGTCGGCTTGTACCTAAACTCAATAGAACTATACACCGGGAATGAGCCATTGTTTTTTAAGGTGTTCCCCTTATCTTTCGGGCAAATTGCATCGGACTGGTGTCACAAGTTGCCGAAAGGAACTGTGAAAACCTGGGAAGACCTAGCCAAGATGTTTGTGGCCAGATTTGTGACAAACAAACTACAGCCGTTGAGGGTAGACTCTGTGATGGCTCTGAGGATAGGCGAGAATGAAAGCCTCAAGGCTTATGCCAAGAGGTATTATGAGGTATTCAACCGAATACCAGGATGCAACCAAGAGGTGGCAGTAGTGTCTTTTAAGAATGGCCTGAAAGATGATTGTTTGCTTCGAAAATCACTGGCAAAGACACTACTAAAAAGTATGGAGGAACTTATGGCCAGGACAGAAAAGTATGCCAGGGTCGAGGAGAACACGCCGGGGACAAGGGCGTAGAAACAAGAAAAAGGAAATAGCTTGCTGAAGCGAGGCCGAGGTAACACTGGATACAACAAGCAAGAGACAGGATTAAGGGCTGCGCAGGCAATCACAACCGTATTCCGAATCCCGATTTACAAAGTCTTGGAGAAAATTCGAAATCAACCCTATTACAGAGCACCAGTAAGGGTTCCGGGCGAATTTATGGGAAGAAGCCTTGGCATGCACTGTGCTTACCAAAATGAAGATGGGCATCTGACTCAGGGGTGCAGAGCCCTGAAGGCACATCTGGAAGACCTAGTAAGACAAGGTCATTTAAGGGACCTTGTAGACGAGGCTAGGACAAGGGAAGAGCAAGCAAGATTGCCTCAGGCACCGACAACACCGCCTCCTCCAGCACCATAACCACAGGCAGACGGACCTCGAGTGATCAATGTGATTCACTCGAAGGTCGATGAGAACGAAATACGTAGGGAGACTCAGAGGGTAAAACACTTGCAGCATGTGTACCAGGTCTGACAGAAAAGACCTAGGGTAGACGAGTGTCAGGGACTAGTGGTGTCCTTTACAGAAAACGACCTAGAGATGGTGCAACATCCACACAACGATGCCTTGGTAATATCCCTCTAGATTGGAGAATGCCAAGTGAAGCGCATCTTAATTGACCAGGGCAGCTCTTGTGACATCATGTATATCAGGTGTTACAAGGAGCTTGGCTTTCACTAAGATGATCTGGAGTAGTCCAATGGCTCAATGGTTGGGTTCAACGGAATGCCAACATGGCCCTTGGGAGTAACAAGTTTAGAAGTGTAGATTGGCACCAAAAAGGTGAAAACAAAATTCACAATAATTGACACCCATTCCCCTTACAATGCTATCCTGGAAAGGCCATGACTGCATGTAATGGGGGCTGTTCCCTCAACTTTACACCAGCTATTGCGGTTCCCAACAGAACAGGGAATTGAGGAAGTCAGAAGGGATTAGGTGCAGACGAAGAATTGCTCCATAGCAGCAATGAAATCCACCTGCAACATACGAGAAGCAGAAGCAGCAAAAATTGAGGATGAGGACATGGAAGTTCTGGAGGATGTCGACAAAGAGCCAGCCAAGAAGAGTGAGGAAGCTCTGAAGAAAATTATTGTCCAGCAACAGAATGAAGAGCGCTTCTTTCTTCTAGGCTCGGGCTTGACTGAGGAAGAGGAAAAAGAGCTTGAGGCGTTCTTGAGAGCAAACATCGAGGTGTTTTCCTGGACGCCGTACGAGATGCTTGGCATTGACCCCGAGGTCACTTGCCATAGACTGAATGTGGACAGGTCGGCCAAACCTGTTATCCAGCGAGCAAGAAGGCCGATGTTGATGCATGTTGAGGCAGTAGAAGAGGAAGTGGATAAACTTCTAGAGGCTAGAGCCATTCAGG